CATCTCTTTGAGAAACCAGGGAGGTGGTTGGTTCTGGTTCGCCCTCCTCTCAACCAGAACTTCCCTTGGCTAAGGGTCAGCATCGGCCTGTCCCAGCAGGTGGGGGCTTATGACTTCTGAGGGGGATTGTTTATTCCTGGCAGCTCACTGAAAGCATTTGTGTCTGGGGTCCTGGTTGAAGCTCATGCTCCCTGCATCAGGGCTAGAACCAATTACCTGGGATGGAGTGAGACTTCAAGAAGTGCTAGCTTGCTACAAGCTCCTAATCCTATGGCAGCCTTGGTCCTAGGAAGAAAACCAAACACTGAGTCTAATTAGAAGTCACCCCTCTTTGCCCATGAGCCCCAGAGTTTGCACACAATATCCCCTGTCCCCATCAGAATAACTCAGGCAGAAACAAAATCTCCACCTGTCAGATGAGGAAATGGAGGCTCAGAGAGGGGAAGACACTTGCCCATAGTCATCCAGCAGAATAAATGGCTATTTGGGTTGTTTATGGTAAAGAAGAGGCTTTACTTGGTGAAAGGGAGTGGAGAATGGAGAGTGTGCCAATGAATGCTCTTGGGAAGGGGCCAGGTAGGGCCTCAATGTTATGAACCCTCTTTCCCTCCACTGGGGTCAATGGGGCAGAGACAGAAGGGTCTCTGGCCTGGGTCAGGGAACCTGAGTTCTTTCAAGTCCTTCCCCATATCTCCATACTTTGCAGAGGCCCCTCTGCCTTGGGGCATCTGGCAAACCTGCTGATTCCTGTCAGACTCAGCTGGGCTTGGAGAGCAGAGGGTGAGGCTGGACTGATTCCTGAATTTTGCTGCTTTAGACAGCCAGCCAGGGTGATTTCTTTGGCTGCTTAAATGAATTTTTTGATAAACAGTAATATTCAAAGAACCTGAGTATTACAGGGCCAGAATGGACCCTTAAGGTCACCTACATCAATCCTTTGCCAACATTTTAATTCTTCTATAATATCTCCAGCCTACTGTTCTACTGTCCCTGCTTACATACTTCTACTGATGGGATACTCATTACCTTCAAGGGCAACCCAACTGGTAACTTCTGACTATGAAAATGGCTCCAGCACCACAGCTAACTTATGCCTCTCTCTTCCTTCCTCTCTCTCATTACTGCTTTCTTATTCCTCCTTTCCTCTCTGTTCTCTATCTTTCCTTCTTTCCCCTTATCCACATTTCCTGAACACCCCTTTTGCGTCAGGTAAAGATACAACCTGGACACATGACCCCTACCATCCAGGAGCTCAGGGTCAGCTGGGAGCAGGGGCACAGATACATAATTAGACAATCACAACACTGAGCAGTGGGTGTCATGAGAGATGTTAAGAAAGCCTAAAGAAGTCAGAGAGGGCTTCTTGGAGGAGGAAACACCTAAGCTGATCCTTAAAGGATGACCTTTAGAAGGAAAAAGTTGTATGCATAAGTTACCGTCTATTCTAGAAAAGATAAATATGATTCCATGTGGCCAGGCAGAGGGTGGGACACAGCAAGGTTGGCAGGGATGCATGACTATAAGGTCAGGCTGAAGAACTTGGGTTTTATCTGACTATCCAGAAAAATTTTCATCAGCTCTAACTCTGTTTGCTGCTCCATAGGACAACATCAAAGCTCACTTCCCAGACAGAAATTCTTTTGCCTTTCAGAGGTCTTCCTTCTGATAGAATGACTCCTCCTTGCTCTTTGAGATCTTTTGTGGCCAGGCTGGCCAGGGGAGAAAGAGGCCTGAATCTGTAGGCTTATCAAAGTCTTGCTGAGGCCAGAATATTCTAGAAGATTCAAAGTCTAGCTGAGGCCAGAATGTTCTAGAAGATAAAGCATTCTGTGTAAGGAAAATCTACTCTCAGTCTTTTAGTATAAGGCCAAATTTGCTGGCACATGGCATAAGTTTGAATGATTCAGACTCTGGATTATTGACTCCTTGAGCTACACCCAGCTGCCTCTCTGACAGCCCAACTCCGTTCACCTGGTCCTGTATGCATCAGGCCAGCCTCAGAACATTAGGAAATCTGGCCACTCTGACCGGCCCAGAGATGCTGTGATCACACATTAAGGTTTCCTGAGAGCCAGAGGACTTAGGGCCACCACTCAAAATGCTGGCTGACCTCAGGCAGGTCACTTAGCTTGTAGGGTCATAGTCTTTCCATTTTTCCTGTCTGCCTGAAGGTCAACTGTGAAAGCCCTAGGAAATGCACACAATTCTCTAAGAAAAACAAGAGCCTTTTAAAAAGGCTTGGCTCGTAGAACATGCTGGGGAAAATGTCAGCAGTGGTAGACAGACCATTCAAAGGTGCATGAATGGACGATGGAATGGTGGCTCCCTGGCCCAGTAAAGAGCCCCAGCCATGCCAATTCTTGTCTAAATCAGAAGGTTCAGCTCAGTTTCAATCCCTGGCCAACAGAGTCCTGTAGGATTAGCAAACTCTGCCTGTGAAGTTCTGACCCACCTCAGCTCTGGCCTCCTGTCGGCACATGCCTTCCCATCAGCTGGTCCAGGCATCTGGCTGCCTGTCCATCTCTCTTTAAACACCTGAATGCTTGGCTGTGAGAGGGTCTGGAATCTCCAAGCTACCCAGAGATGGAATCCAGAAAACCTTGGAGTTAAACCTGCCTGAAGTGCAGGGCCTGGATGGGTAACCTCTATGCTTCCTTCTAACAAAGGCATCTAGATTGGGGTGCTTGTCCTACCTGGAACGAGAGTTCCTCTAGGTCAGAAACGGTGGTTGAATTTGGTCCTAACATGGAGCCTGGCACTTATGTGCGGTCGATAATTACACGCTGCATTAATTTACGTCTTTGGCCCTGTGCCTGGCACAGATCTGGGCACACTGTCAGGTGCCTGGACTGTTTACCCAAATGCTTCATCTTTAATTACCCTCAAGCTCCATCTCGCCACATCTCACCACACACTCTGCCCCAAACAGAGGGGGATCTGGCCTGTGTGTTTCTAATTCCTTTACACTTATCTCATCCAAATATTGCTCGGTACGGTACGTTTGATGTCCTGCAGCCCTTCTGAGCCTGCTTTATAAGTCAGCTAAGCCCCTTCCTGCTCAGAAATAGGAAGTCCCTTTTTTACCAAGGATAAATGGACTCAAGCCCTGACTGAGTTCAAGTTCAGTTTACAGTGGGGTCCTCAGAAGACTGGCTGGATCCTCAGATACAGCTCGGGGGGCTCCTTCCAGGTCTCAAGCTCAAGACCACCTGAGACCAAGCTGAAAGGAATTTAGCTGCTTACCAAGATGCCCAAGAGATCCATCCAAGGAGCTGCTCAGAACTCTACCTTCTCTGAGCAGAGATAGCTCTTATGATGGCACTGAAGCCAATCAGCTGTCCCAAGCCTGCCAGGGAAAAACACGGTGCAGAGAGTCTGGGGAGCACTGGGCTGGGAGTCAACAGACCTGACAGGCTGTGCAGCCTTGGAGAACGGTCTGCCCTATCTAGGCCTTATAATTAATGTCACTATTGTGCTTGTCTGAAAAGAGGAGTCATTTCTATTCTTAGGCTCCTGAACTGTGCACATAATGAGCCATCAGCCCGGTTGAGGCTTCAGGGCTGAGAACTGAGTCTTCTCCATTCTCAGCCACCACCTTAGTAACAGAGAGGCTGTATAATCCTCTGAATCTCAGCTGTGTCTCTCCAGGCCATTCACAGCTCAGGTTTGGTAGGGAAAAACAAACAAACCAAAAAACAAAAAAAAACAAAAACAAAAAAAACCAAACCACGTTACATTGGCACTAAGACTTTGCAAGTTGGGGTATGGGACACAGGCCATATGTTGATGCCAGAGCCCCCTGACTACAGGGAACCAGGATGAATGAATGTGGTCAGCCTCTGGCTGAGATGAAAAGCTGTGGCCCCATTGAGTGAGTTTGTCCCCTGGTGCAGAGAGAAAAGGCAGAAAGCAGTCCAGGAGGCAAATGTCCCTTCTGAGGCACATTGAGGTGGAGTGACTTTAAGCAAGTCTCTTTACTTCTAGGGGGCTCAGTTTCTTCATCTGCAAAATGAGAACGAATTGTATCTCACAGCACTAGGCTGAGGATGAGTGATAAAGTGTGCAAAGTGTCCGTCCGCCACACCACAGGCCTTGACAGATGACAGCTCTCAGGACGACGGGCAGGTGACTCCTCAGACCCCCTACCCCAGGATGTCTTTCTGAGCTCCTCTTTATTGTCAGGCCCTGCTCACTCTAACTGGCCATGATTCTCCTCTAACCCAAGCCGAGAGGTCTGGATTCAAGGCTTAGCTCTGCCCTTGACTGTGTGACTGACTACAGGTGACCCACTCCCCTCTTTCGACCTTAGTGTAAATGTCAGTCAAGTGGGTCTGGAGGATCACCTTCCTCAATACCAACATCCCCTCCCCATGCCCACCCCAGGGCTTTGGTTCAAACACTTACCAAGAGCTCAGGAGGGCACTTCACAGACACTCAGGATTTTCAATATTAGCAGCAATCTCTTTCCTAAAGTACCTTCCCAGGCCCCAGCTGTATCCAGGAGAGGAAGAGCAGTCAGCCTTCACACCTCTAGCTTCCAAATCCAGCTTCACAAAAGCTAAGCCTGTCTGCCTCCCCCCTCCCTCTGAGGGGCTGAGAGTGGGAAAAAACCATATCCAGCAGCTAGGAAGCTGCTGCTGAATCTAGGCACAGGCCAGTTCTAAGCAAGAAGTCGCAGCTGTCCTGGTAACCTGGTTCACCTCCTTGGGTTGGTACTGGGGCTAATGAAGGGGTATTTAACATAGGTCACATAAAAATAGCTTTATGGTAGAATAAATACATTTTTTCTTTTTTAATACAGACACATATTTTACAAAAGAGCCCCATAGCACTATGGGAAATTAAGATCCTTCTACAAAAAAGAAGATGTAACTCAGGTACAACAAAGCTCTAGTGTTCTAACCGGTCCCACCTGGATTGCCTGCGAGGGATCAGGCACCCCTGGAGGTGGTGGCAGACCCGCTATTATTTCTCTGACATCTCTGCATGGAGAGCCAAGGTCAGGAGGGCCCCAAGATGTACAGCAGGGAGGTGGCGGCAATGGTGGCTGTGACAGCAGTGAGGGAGTCCACGGTGATGGGCTGTGCGTGGCTGAGTGCTGAGTTGCTGGACAGACCAGGCTGATCCTGGGGCTGGAGCTGGTCGGAGAGCTGGAGCAGGGGCTTGGCAGTCCTGGAGCTCTGTGTGGGATGGACGGGCAGTGGGGGTGGCGAGGCCGTGGTGCTGGAAGAGAAGAAGCACATGGGACAGTGACTGGTCAGCAGCCTCGTCCTGAGAAAGAGGCTCAGAGATGGTGGATTTAGATCCAACCTTATCTGATCTCTTCTGTTCTCATAGGAACGAAACAAGAGGCCAAGGTTCAAGGAAGGTGAGCAGCCCAGAGCCACTCAGGCAAACCGCCTAGGCTGTCGAGGCCTCACCCTCCTTCCCATGCCAGGCTGTACTGCACGGCTCCTGAAGACAGGCCAGCCCTGTGGGCCACGGGCCTCAATTGTGACTACTGTGGGGAACTGAGTCCCAGGCACAAGAATGAAATTGTTACATGAAGGAGATTTGGGGTCATGTGAGGACAAATCAGTAACTCCATCTTTATGCAGAGGTGTCCCCAGCCCTCAAGCTGCTGCTCCCTCCCTCATCTGAAACTTCTGGCAAACAAAACAAGGCACCAACAAACAAAACTGTCACCAGCTGCACTGCCTTCATTATTACAACTACCATTTGCGGAATATCCACTGTGCGTCTGGTACTGAAAACCCAACCTTTCTGTAAACTTTCATTAAAATCATAGTAAGAAGAAATACAAACCCACCCCAATATCACCAGATCCTCACAACAGATCATCAGCATAAGTTTCATAGCCCCATTCGACAGACAAGAAAATTGAGGCAGGCCCAGGAACGGGGAAGTAGTACTTGCAGGGCTCACGTATTCTGGGGGTCTGCAGTAAGTGTCGAGTGAAAAGTGCATGTTCTTACACTTATAAAAAAGGAATTAAGTTTTGGAAATAACAAGTGAGAGTCTTGGCTCAAGAAGTCTTATGTGAAAAAGAGGGTGGGAGGGTTAGAGAGAGAGAATGAGAACGAGAGAGAGAAATGAAAGGAGATTAAGAACAGGAATGAACCGGAGAACTGAGCCCATCCTTGGTGGGGAAGGGAAGTTGGAGGGGAAGAGTGGGGTCAGGAGGGGCTCAGGACCAGGCTGCTTCCAAGACAGGGTTTGAGAAGAAGCATAACAAAGAAGCCATAGGAAAGAAACTAGACAGAAAACCTGTGGGCAATAGGAAAAGGTTCTTGGTGTGAAGAATCGATTAAGAACAAGATTGGGTCAGGGCTGAAGAGCTCCTCGTCAGCGGGGCCAGCAGGTGGAGAAGCAGACACGGGACCCATCAACCTCCATACACTCAAACGTGAGAGAAAGCATGGATAATAAGTCCCTCTGTGTGCCCTTCCAGTACAGAGGCTAGAAAAGCCATACAGCAGAGGTGACACTGCAGTCGGACTTTTGAAGGCAGAGAGTGTCAAATCCACACAAGAGGGACAGCTTCCTTGTGGGACTGGGAAACTCAGGTCAGGTTTGTGCTAAGCCCTTGGCATACTTTTATGAAAAAGGGATGAGGTTTGGAAATAACAGGTTATTTCAGAAATAAATGGAGCTCTGGTGACCTGGTGATGAGAAGCTGTACTGCTGACACAAAGTCACGCAGTTCAAATCCACCTGCTGTTCTGTGGGGAATAAAATGAGCACTCTCTTCCCGTGTGGTTTACTGTCTCTGAAAACATGCTGGAGGGTCAGCTATGAGTTGGTTCTGATTTGACAGTAAACAACCACCTCATCACAAAACTGATGAACTAGGCCTTCCTATTCGATATAGGAAAGACGGAGTCACAGAGAGGTTACGTAACCTGTTCCAGCACTGGAGCAGGGCCAGGCCCAGCAGCCGTGTCAAGAGGCGGGGGCTGGGGGTGGGGTGGATATGAGCTTGGCACACAGTAGGGGATCTCTGCATTAGTGAATGGACAGGAGGTTGGGATAGAAGACAACTTAGTGTCTGACAACTGGGCTATTGGTAAGACCTCTCCTGTTTAGCTGCTGGTCCCTCCCTGATCAGTATAAGGGACAAGTTAGTAGAAACAGGGCAGGGCCATCTTCCCTTCCATGTGGGCCACTGTTCTCCTGTCAGGAACAGGCTGCTCAGTCCCTGGGTTAACCTGGGTGTCCTCCCCCCACCCTTCCTGGGCCTATGTTTTCTCATGCTGGGCCATGAGGCCCTAACAACTGGCCATAATCACCATTGTGAGTCCTTATAATTATCTCCAGCACACTCCAGCCCACGCAACCACACACTGGCCCCCCTGTCACTCCCTGGTACCTCGTACACAGTTCAGCTCCATCCTGTACCTTGCACATAGCCAGGCTCAGTCATAGCCCAGGTGAATGGGAGAGGAACTTAGGGTCTCCAAGCCCACCCCTGCTTCCACAGGGCTCAGCAGGGCTTTGTGCACTTAGGGTAGTCTCCAAATACTCCTGGAAGTTCTCTTCTGGGCCCTTCCTCTCTCCTTTCCATGCCTCCTATTCTGTCTGTACTCGTAGCGATGCTGGAACCACAAGAGCATGCGACACTCCTGCAGGAAGAGCCTTCTCAACTTGGAGACCACAGCTGAGATATACATGATCCTGGGTCCTAGAGGTCTTAAAGGAGCTAGCAAGGGAACCTATTCCCTGGAGAAGGACATCATGCTTGGAAAGGTGGAGGGATGGGAAAGGAGAGGAAGACCCTCACCCAGGAGGACCGAGACAGTGACTGCAGCAATGGGCTCAAGTGTGTCAGAGATTGTGAGGTTGGCACAGGACAAGGCAGGCTCAGATGTGTTGTTCATAAGGTTGCTATGAGTTGTACCTGACGGCACTTAACAACAAATCAGGAGATGACACAGGGAGGGCCTTCCTGCACAGATAGTGTGGGGAACATGAAGGGAGGAGCGGGCCAGGTGGCTTGGAATGTCCTTTTTAATACACAAAATCTGGCATGCTAAGCCCCGCATTCCGATACTTTCAGAGCATATGAGACCTGCAGTTTGGTGCTGGCTAACTTCTCCTTCCTGGTTTTCCCTGGCATATATCATCACCCTTTCTAGCCAAATCTTGTTGCTATTTTCTTACACACCTCTAATGATCTGATCCAGTGTAACCTTGAGTTCTTGATGATCTCTTCTTGATCTCCCAGTGCTACTGAGAAGAGCTAAGTAAGGCTCTAGAAAGTCTTATATAGTTCTCATTAATGATCTTGTCTTAGTCTTCTATGTGTTAGGGATGTTGACGTTTTAATAGGTTTCTAGATGGAACATGTTATGAACAGTGCTTGGCACTCTGGATATACTATATGGTGTGGGCTATTTTCTCACTGTGAATTATATAGTTGTCTGTCTTTAATAAGTACTAATCTAACACGAAGGAGCTCTGGTAGCCTTCTAGGTAAGGAGATGTACCCCAACCCAAGGACAAGAGTTTTCATCTACCAAAACCAAACTGCTCTGAGGGAAAAAGGGCAATCTCCTCCCATGTGATTTACAGCCTCTGACAACTTGCTAGAGGATCAGCTCTGAGTTGGTTCCAGTTTGATGGTAGATAACAACAAACAATAACCTAATACTATTAGTTCACTATAGCAATAGTCTCCATTTCTAGAACACTTGCCAGGAACATGGGTAGCTAGATGTGGGGCATCTATTTCTCATCCAAGACTTTTCCTAACTTGAGGGGCCCACTGACTCAAGAGAAGACTGGGGTCCTTGGTACCAGACTTCGGGGAAGCCTGGGACACTTGGACACTAGCAAATTAGAAGCATTCCTTTGATGGACCAGCAGACACCAGGTTACCCACCTACCTCTGCATTCATCCTTGCGACAGCCCTCCAATGTGGTTGTCATGATTATTATTCTCATGTCCAGGATGAGGGATGTAAACGTGAAGATTTTATTTCTTACATTAAACCTCAATAAAAACCGGGGTTGGCATGTGGACCGCCTGGCTCCTAGACTAAGTGGGACAGAATCATCCTCACTGAGTGCAAGAGCACCAGAGTGATGGCGCGCTCACAGGGAAGCCGCGTGCTTCTGCTGACACTCTGTGAACCTGTGAGTGGTGACCCGTTGGATGGCAGCCTGCTCTGGGCTCTGCCCTGCACAATTCCCCACTCAGCAGGGGCCATTACATTACCTCAGCTGCTTCCCTCCCTTGAAAAAGAAAGAAAGAAAGAGAATGAACCCATACACAACACAAAACATCCATAAAGATTCCTTCTGAACTTTGCCCATCCCACCAGGCTGTGAGATGGGAGGCTTGCAAAGCTGGCTGAGGGGAGGAGGTTGGGCGCCATGTGAGGGGCCTGGAGCTGGGCCCCAGGCGGGCCTCAGTCAGTGCCTGCCCGCTAAAGGAAAGACCCAACTAGGAGTTATGAAAACTATGTTGTGCGAGGCGCCCAGAGGCATTTTCTTTCACACTTTGAAAACCAAAGTTGAAAATTCCCCCTTGGAGTCTGAGCCGCTGCAGGGGTTTTTATTGCTTGGAAGGAGTCCCAGGGAAATGAGGGGGGCTGGCGGGATGAGAAGTCCCTTCAAATGCCCCCCAACTGCTTCCCTGGCCGGCTCACTCTCTTCACAAAAATCCAGCCTCCAGTCAAGATTCCTGCCTCCTCCCAGGCTCATGCAGGGGAAAATCATCTCATGGCACAGTGACGTTGAAGCCAAACCAAACACTCTGAGTGTTCCCAGGTCCTGCACATGGCTTGCACCACGGGCCTGAGTCAGCTCCCAGCTGCCAGGCCCTGGTGCGGAAGGCAGGAGTCTCAGGCCCAGACCGTGCTATATACCTGGATTGCTGAGTGACTGTGGGAAGCCCTTCGTCTAGGCCTCACTTTCCCCACATGTCCAGTGAAGAGCAGAAACTGACTTTTGCATTTGAAAATGTTTTAGAGCTGCAGAGACAAGTAGTGAGGTCTTAGGCAGAATCCCCATGTAGAAGGCAGAGGGGAGTGAGGCTGGAGCCGGAGGCTTTGTCAGCTGTCAGTCTACAGAGGCCCCTCTGGGGGATCCCCAGGAACAGGGGTGATTCTCTGCACTGGAGGATCTCCCAGAGCTGCCTACGGTTGGCCTCAGGAGTCCTAGGCTCTTTGATTTCTTGACAATATAAGGAGGCTGCATCAGGCCTTCTCATTAGAGGGCTCAGGGTTCAATGAGACACAGGGGAGATCAGAGTTGGAGTCTGGATGGATGGTATTCCTCTGCTCAGACTGGCTGAGGGGAGTGGCGAGCCCACTGTGATTCTGGCCTGAGTCTTAACCTCTCTGGGCCACGCAGCGTGAGGTGTAGGTACAGATCTAGGCAAGTGGTTTGCCTGCAGCTTGGCTCTCTAGTTCTTGGTCACACTGGCCCCCACACCTGTGTCTGCAGTCTTGTCTGCTGGAAAAGTCTCTGCCTTCTCACCTTTGCTGGGTCATTTCTGATCCCAACCTTCCAGCCTTCATTGACTGTAGGCCTTCATAGGCATAGAGTCGACACCTGGTGGTGTTTTGTACTTGTTTCACAACAGGTCAGAGCTGGAAAGGATGTCTGGGTAGCCTCCATGGCACCCACTGCAGATAGGGGAAACTGCTCAGAAGGGAAGGAAGCCCCAGAGCTACTATATATCCTCTGGCACAGGTCCTGCACCCTGCGTCTCTATGTGATGGCACCACCAAGGCTCTGGGTTTTTTAGCGTCGGAGGCCACACCTGTTTGTTTCAGCCTGTGACACATTGAGAAGGTTCTCTTCCCTACACCTGCCCCATCATGCCTGCCATTTAAATCCTGATGGTCCAGCTCGTCTGCTCGGTATTTATACAAAGTCCAGGTGGAGTTCTGTGCCTGATCCCACCGGCTGCGGAAGCTGAGAATAAAGCCTCTCACTGCACACACATGGAGACGACGGGATGGTCACCTATCACATGCTCCACCATGCAGCGCCTGCACACAGCAGGACGGCAGGTTTGGGGACAGTCTATCACACCCTGCTCTGCCTGCCCACCCTGCTCTCAGATGCAGGCCCCCCAAATAAATGCTCTGCGGCCGCTTCTGTGCAGCCCTCTCCCTGGTCCCTATAAATCATCCTGCCAGGGGCGGCTGCTTCTCTAAACTTCCTCCATGTGTTTACATCTTGGGTAATGAGGGGTGAGGGGAGGCCAGCCTGCTCCAGGTGGTGTTCTGGTCGGGCAGCTTGTAGCCTTGGGTTCCTTCCCTTGTTCACACACTCACATATGCAGTCAACACATCCACAGTCAGGCTCTCCAGTGATCAGAAAAGTCCCACACAGACTGGGTCTCCAGGGCTTTCAGATTCAGAGATTGGTAAGAAATTACAATTTGAATGACCATGTCTGGACAAAGGCACCCCTAGGAACTGTGACACTCCTGTGATACTGCGGGGGGTGGGGGGAGAGCTGACAGTGTTGGGGGTGGTGCTGTGGAGGGGAGCATCAGGGAATGTCCTGTGGAGGAAGTAAGACCTCAATGAATGTGCTGGCTGAGATGCCAGCCAGGTGAGGGCAGGACAGATGTTCCCATGGTGATGGATGAATGAATGCCTTGATGTTAGAACTAGCTATGGTTTCTACCTCCACAACCTGACCTACTTCCTGGTCTCAGACAAGTTAGTTAACCTCATTGAGCCTCAGTAGGAAGGGAGGATTCTTGACAGGACAGGGCCCAATGCACGTAAGAACTTGCACAGCTGTCCACCCTGCACCCAGCAGAGAGCTAAGTGTATCCACAGGTGCAGGCACAGGAGGGCACAGCCTGCCATGGGAGCAGCCTGAGGCTCGGCAAGGAGGTTGTGGGGATGCTTTGACTAGTAGTGTGGAGAGAGTTGGCGGGGGCTGTCTCAAGCTGAGGAGAGGTGATAGATGGAGAGGGAAAGGTGGTCCTGGAGAGGAGGGGATGCTGCAGTGGAATTTGGGCGGCGGCAGCAGCAGCAGCAGCAGCAGCAGCAGCAGCAGCAGCAGCAGCAGCAGGCTGAAGATCAGAAAACCCAGAATGGAATCAAAGCTTTGAAGAAGATGATTGCATTAGGATCACAGCTGGCCTCAGGCTCCCCCTGGCAGAACTAATTTATGCTACATCTTAGTGAATTCGGCATTTGAAGCCTTATAGGGTCCTTGCACCTAGGCCTCTTGGCTAAGGTAGAAGTGGGGTGCTCAGGCTTGCTCCCCAAGAAACAACGAAAACTGAAACAAACAGGCTGCCTATTGGTGGAAACTTCCTTCTCTAACCCAAGTTGATGGAGGAAAATGATTCAGCCACAATTTACCTGTTGGGACTGAAAAGGGCTCCCACTTGGCAAAGAAAAGCAGTTTTCTTCAGATGAAACCAGGCTCTGAGCTTCAGAGCTGTGTGTTGTGAAAAGGAAACCATTTGGAGTCATTTGCCTTTCAGACATAGTTAGGGTTGGGGGTCTGCAGCTGGAGCTGACAGCACAGCCTCCTGTCCCTCCATGGGCTGGACCCACCACTGCCCAGAACTCCTGGTCACCTTGGCGGGCTGATCAGGACCCTGAGTGACCAGCCTAATTAGAGCTTTTTATGGGCTGCCAGCACCATCGTTTGCCCGCTCCTCCCTGGCAGCCTGCAGGTCCTCTGTAACTCTACGCCCTCACTCCCGGTTTGAAGGGGGCAGCCCATGTTGGGTGCAGGAGCCAAATGTGTCACAGCCAATCTCGCTGCAGCCATGCCTCTGCCTTTAGGTAGGCCGGCCAGCCAGCAAGCGCTCTGCAGAAGGACATTTCCCAAAAAGCCAAGCCAGGTGCTTTGAAACAAACTGCCAAAGGCAAAATGGGCTATGATCTTCTTTGTTAAAAATCTCCAAGATGGTTTACACCTTCCCTTACTTGGAAACAGTGGACTAGACCCATTTAGCTTTTGGTGATGGATCAGAGACCTAGTGCAGGGAGAATCAAAGTGGAAAAAGCAGGGGGAAGCTGGTGAGACCTTGTGTGACCAAGAGGATTCCCTTTCCCGCTTTGGCCTTGGTTCACCAACTCTAAGTGGAGAGTTGAGTCAGTGATTCTCAAACATTCTCAGGAAGCATTGCCAAGAATCCACTGAACATTTTGGTCCCAGAGCCTCCTCTATATATCCTGATTTCGGAGGTCTGGAATAAGGCCTGGAATATGTTCCTCTAACAAGCACCCAAGGTATTCTTTTTAGAGATGTTGAAGAAATCCTGGGAGATGGTCTTTATGGTCAAAGTGGAAGGAATATTGTGAGACTCCCAGAGCTCCCTCTGGGAGCATGATGTCCATGCTGGGCTACTGCACGGCTAGGACTCTATTTGCTCTAAGGATCTAGTTTAGGGGTTTTGGAGACATTGTGTCGAATACATAGAGACTCCTTCAGGAAAGTGGTTGCCTACTCCTGAGACTACAGGAGGAAGTTAACCTGGTAGTTAAAGTTTTGAGCTTGGGTGAAGACAGGCTGAGTGGTGGTGATTCAGGGTGGTAGCAGGAAGGAGAGGAACCGCTTCTGTGTCCGCCAATTTCCATCAAGGTTTATCAGGTATCTCCATCTATTCCAGAGACAACGCTCACAGCTGACATCAACTACCTCATTCCAACGTGACATCCCCTTTGCCATGGTGTCTGCTGTCCCCACCTTCCTGGCACAAGGAGTTCACGGTCTTTTGAACTAGCCTCCTGTTCTGTTTTATAATAATTTTGCCACGGGACAGATGGATTCCCCACTTTGCAACTCCAGTGCATCCCAGACAACTAGCTAGACACAAACCCGACTGTTACCCATTGCTCCTGAACAGGCTTCTCTACCTTTGCCTTTCAAATGGAGAAAACAGTGTGTGGTACAGTAGATTTCTTATTCAAAATTACTTTCCTAGCTACTGACTTTGACATGCACTGCGTGACTGGGTTGGGTTACGTTACTAACGTGAATACAGTGAATAGTAGTTTTTGGCTGGGAAGATGACCACCCCTCAGCCTGTCTTCACCCAATCTCAAACTTTAACTACCAGGTGGACAGGAGTGATGATTACTGATGAGGGGCTTAGTCAGTCTTACCACCTTAACAGGCTTAAGCTGACCAGGTTTAGAAGTAGAAAACGGGCATCTTGCTATCATAAGAGACTGCAGCTCACGTCCATTTGGTGCAGAGATTTCTGCTCCAGACAGACAGTGACCTAGACCAGAGTAGTGCAGTAGCTACTATGTAGAGATGGTGAGACCCAGATGCCCATGTGAGCTGAACTGGAGAAGTGCCACCCCAGAGCCAGAACGGAGGTCCTGGCCCAAGTCTGCTGAAGGACCGGGGTGTGGGAGGGTGAGCTCTCATAACTGATGTAACTAAAAGGGCTGTAAAGCTCTGCCCTAAAGCCAAGAGGATGAAGGGCAGGGAGACTTCAAGAATGCCTGAGAAGCCATCCTGAATGAAGAATTGTTTCCTGTTCCCTGTTAACTTCTCTAATAAACCCCATAATCATGAGGATGGTCTGTGAGTTGTGTGGCCACAGCCATGCATTAGAGGACTCCGTAGCAGAGCAGCAAGAACTCGGCGACATACAATTAGAGTTAGAACTGACAGTAGGAGATACAGAGAGTGTGGAGCTCATTTGACCTCATGGGAATTGGTTTTGTACTACGGATATTCTGGATGGGGACTGTTCCCTCTTGCGGAGACAGCAGAGGTCAGACACCATTACCTCCATAATGGCCACATGGTTTTTACATTGAACCGTCAGAAGTGACTGTCTGCTAAAACCCTGAATCTGGTGGCCCCTGGTGAACAGGATGAAAAAAACTCAACCCTGAAATATCTGCTTTAAACCTCACTAGACGTGGAGAACATCCTCTGAGCAGGGCTGCCTAGCGATGCTCTTTAAGGTCCATGGTGTATAATTCCCAGCCACAGGGAGGCTCACGTGGGTCCAGCGGCTCAGCTCTCTGGGCAGGTGCTAGATACACCTGCCCCTTCAAGCTCACCTGTTCTCAATGCGGACCCAGAGGTCATTGAACTGCCTGGGCCGCTGCTGTTTGTTCTGCCTCTTGTGCCACTTCTTCTGTCGCCCAAACTCCTCTAGCTGGCTGAGGCTGTCGGGGAGCAGGAGGTGTGGGGACAGGGCTGGATCCTCCTCCTCAGGCTGCAGGGTGGGGGTCGCTGAGGGTACCACAGGGATGGCGGCAGCTGGAGTCGCTGGAGTCGGGTTCTCCGAGGTCCCCTCGGGAGGGGGTGCTGGGCTCCGGGCCACAGGGCTGGAAAGAGGCAACAACATGTGAGGCCCATAGATTGGAGCTTGTCATTTGTGTGCCCTGAGGAGTGTTGTTCCGCAGGGGCTCTCGCAGCAGGCGGACATGCTGAACTAACATGGAGAAACCATTGAGAGGCGGTGTTTGGAGTCAGTGTTCCATTTATCTCATCAACCAATAAGTTAATCAGTTCACCAGTTAGTATTTATTGAGCACCTAGCCTGCACCAGACACTTTTACAGGACGTAGGAATATCCAAATGCGGGAGGGAGGGAGGGAGGGAGGGAGAGAGAGAGAGAGAGAGATGCAAAACATGGAGATAACTGTGAGACAAAAGTCAGGGACAAGAGAGTGGGGAGTGAGGATGCTACCAGGGAAGGCCTTTCACAGGTAGGAGGTGAAGCGTGAGCCAGGCGGAAGTCTGAGGGGAAGATATGACCTCGGTCGGAAGCTCGTTTATTCTGTAAACTCTGGTGAAGAGACTGTAAGCCAATTAACAGACTTCTCTATGCCTCCATCTCCTGCTCCGGTAAATGGGGATATTACAGCATGTCTCTCACAGGGTGTCATGAGGTTAACACCTGCAAAGCACTTAGAATTCCTGGCAAATAATTGGCAGCTGAAGCATTTTATGTAATGATTGCTGTTAATGTGGTTAAACCACCTGCTCACGTATTTAACGCGCATTTACCAGTTCCTCTGAGCAGTGGCGGGTCCTGTTCAGCAGACAGAGCCTGCGCTGTAGGTGGAGCTGAAGTTGTTGGGTAGATGTGGGCTCACATTCCAACCCTACAGCTTAAAGGCTGTGTGACAAGTGGAAGTCACTTCAGCATCTCAGGCAGCAATCTGCTATATAACAGGAATAATAATAAACCTCACTGCCTAGCTTATCACGAGAATGAGCGAGAGCACATGGTCACGCTTTCATGAGTGTGGGCCCACGGTCGAAAGGCCCTGGCCATAAGGTGGACACTGCAGGGCTTAGTATGTGTGTCTGTGGAAGACACACTGCACACAGGAGTGCCTTAGCTTTGAGACACCCTCTGCTCTTCACCCTTCAATCTTTTTTCTCTCTGTGACTCAAGGACCTTCCTTCTGGAAGAATCCAGCCCTGGAATGTGGTTGGAAATGATTTCAAGAATTTTTTTCTGAGCATGTGGCTTGAGGGTAAGGCTGATACCCGAGACAGCATGCAATGCTGCTTCCACTGCATGCGCACACGGGGCGTCTCTATCAGTGCAGCCTGTGCTCCTCCCGGCCCCCACAGCAGCCCAGATTCCCAGGGTCCAGGCTGCCGGGTGATGCCGCAGCTGCTGGGGAGATAATTCAAAACAGACAAAAGGATAGATTCAGGAAGCACCTGTGGCCGATGATGGCTTTCATTGTTGGAGCCTCCTCGGCCTCCCACCCCCTCCACTTGTCTGCTCACAGGCGGGGTTTCAGGATGTGCTCCAGTTTCAGACTGAGGGCCTTCTGAGCAGGCCCGTGGGGGGAGAGTGGGGGACCCTTTTCTAATGTTTGGGCCCCAACATGAATAGAGGCAGAGTTAGCAAGACAGACCTTTCTATTCTGGACAGACACAATGAAACTCAAGGTGAAGGTCCTTGGGGCTGTGTGGAGTGAGGGGAGAGGAGAGAACTCTGAGGAATGTCTTGTCACCAAGGTCACCTTGGGTCCTCCATCCCTTCAATGCACACCTGCTTCTCTGTCCCTCGTCCAATGCAAACTGGTGTCTTCTGAGCTCAAACAGTTCAGGAAAGAAAAGCAGTCTTGTGAGGTTTACTCAGGGAAGAAGAGCTGGGAGGAGTCTCAGAGGGAGGGGGTATTCAAGGTTCTCTTTACATGTGTGAGACTGGGGAGGGCACTGGTGGGGAGCTGGGAAACTCGGGTTAGCTGCTCTGGGCCTCGGGTTCCTCCATGATAAGATGGGGATCATCAGAGTCCCTACCTCACAAGATAGTTGTGAGAACTAAATGGCTTAAAAGTGTTTACAGCCAGGAAAGTGTGTAGTCCAGTTTGAACAGACTCTTAGCTGACCCGTCAGTGAGTTTTCAGAGTCAGTAAACCATATGAGAGGCTTCCCATCTTTCTCCTTCAGAATAGGGGTGGATTTGAACTGCCTGGTTTGGGGTTGGCAACACTACTTATTAATTAAGCCGCTTGAGCTCCATGGTACAGTCAATAAATATTGGCTGTGGTAACTCAAGCACCTCTTGGAACTATGTGTTCTGAAACATCAAAATCACATTGTGGCAGGAATGTCCCTTGGCTGGAAGGAATGTTTTAGCATAAAGGTCGGAGTATGGACCACACTGGACCCAAATGACTGAAGACCCTGTCACGAATCTCTGTAGCTGTCCAAGATCTCTATCATGTGTGGCCAGTGCTGGTGCTGCAGACACACAGATGGGCAAAACTGGCTCCTGCCCTCGAGCAGCTCTAAGAGTGGTGAAGGAGGTGGAGGGGAAGGTGGCCACTATTTGGCTATTCGATGGGATTCGTTTGTTTGGAAGGATAGTCAAGATAGTCATGACAAGAAGCAGCAATGGGGAAGACACACGGGCAGCAGAAAGTGAGGACCTAGGTGTGGGTGGGGGGAATGGGAGCGGGTTGGGACACAGAGAAGAGAACAGGTGACTTGCCCCTTCTCTCATGGCAGTCTTGATTGCCAGTTGAAGAATCCATTAGGTCCTCCAGGAATCCTATAAAGTCCTCCAGAGTCCACTCGGCCCAATCATCAGTCTCTAATTCCTAACTACCTCTCAAGTTCTATTTGAATCCCTCCTGTGCCCACTGCCCCAGCCAAGCCTCCATTATTTCTTGTCAAGCTTTCCAGGTGCCTCCTTTTCCGTCTCCTTACAGGCCAAGCTCTTTTCCAATAAGAGAGGTCTTTCTAAGTCCCTCCAAGTTCTCCTCTCACCAGACGCCTCTTCAGAACTCTCCCATCTATCTGACCTGACCATGTACTCCAGGGCCAGGCACACTGTGTCCCAAGACGCCCCACACAACACTGGCAGCTGCTTACCCGTGGATGGCCTGCCCTGCGGGTGTGTGCTCTACCTCCAGCCCTGCTTGCCGCAGGACATCGATGACAGTATTGTTCCCCAGAAAGTGACCTGGAACAGAAGAGAAAGCACTGGCTCAGCCAAATCACAGGCCACTGGCAACTGAGGAAAGCCTTCGCTTATTCCTTTGGCTTGTGCCTGAGTCAGCGACTTATGGTGAAACTGAGTCCCAGATTTGTAGCCAATTTGCCCAATGCAAAAAAAAAAAAAAAATCAAGGCTGCAGATTTCCTAGAGACAGCATGGTGTAGTGGGCAGGAAGTGGTCTGGGTTCCACACTCTTTGGGTTTAAGTCTAGGCTTTGCTGAACCTCCCTGTTCCTCAGTTTCCCCAGCTGTTAAGTGGGAATAACAGTAGCAGCAACCTCAGTGGTTGTTGTGAAGATATTAGGGTACAGTGGTTAACACACAGTAAGGTACTACTAGCAATGCTTACTGTATTATTGAACCTCATTATTGCTAGGCTGACCCAGACTGAGACTAGACAGATTCCTGGAGTCACACAAAGCCCACCTCTGAGAAAAGCCCCAGAAGCTCTTTGTGAACCCTATGGATCGATGGCTTAATCTTCTAAACTCCAACTGCAACTTCAACTCTTGCAATCCAACCTGAGTGTAGAAGCGGGGCTTTATGTGTTGGTGTTTGTCTCCTTGCCTGACTCCCACTGGGCAGGAACTACCTTCTACCTGCCAGTGCGTGCTCAGTACATGGTGGCCGGACCTACGCATTCTAAGTCATTTGTTCATTGCCCCACACTTAGGATGCCCGAGCCCTGGGACAGCCAATTGCTGAGGTGTCAAATGCCAGTGGGATACAGATGCTGGCAGTGGCATAAAGGAAGTACAAGCTCAGAACTGCACCTACAGTGGTGGTCTAGTTGGGTTTGGGGAGAAGAGATGGTCTCCACCTCAGCCCCTTCCCATTTATTTCTTCAACAAGCCATTTTCTGATGTTCTTGCTCTGTGGCATCATGCACTGGGCACTGAAAGGACAGAAGCGATGGGTTTAGTGCAGGACCCCAGGTGAGAGTAGGGAACCTCTTCTTTCTTAGTTGCAGGCTTGAGGTCTGGGAACACAGGGAAAGGCTCTGGTTTGGAAGAATCCCCAGGAGCCAATGGACTGGGGAGAGTAGCTTCTGAGGCTCAGCATGTGGGAGAGCTGCTTCTCCTTTCTGGGCCTCCTGTTCAATCTGGGCCAGAGTTGGAGCAGCCAGACGATTACGGTGCCGACCCTCTGAGCCCTTCCAGCCCACGAGTCTGCCCTGTAGCCCACTCACGTTTACCATTCATCCCAGAGCCTGGTGGGGGAACCCCTGCACTCTGACTCTAATTGCCTGTGACAGGTGGTGACAGGTGGGAAGCAGGAAGGTCAGCATACTGACAGCCCCAGCGAGGTCTGAGGAGAACACAAAGTGGACATGCTGTCGAGAATGGAGGCTCTGGAAAGAGGTGAGGCTGGGATTGCACTGTAGTTGGACAGAGGAGTGGACCTCTGGCTCCACGGGCCTCGCACTGCTCTGGGCTGCCTCTGTGACTCCCCTCAGTCTAACAGCCCCAGTTCTGTCTAACTGGCTTGTGGTGGTCCTGGAATTCCAGCTCAGGGTCACTTCTAAAGATCAATGGGCTGAGAAGAACTTGGCTCCTACTGCAGGATACACTACATTTATTCTGAGTTCTTGGGTGGAGGCAGTACCCTGAATACCTGTAGTTTCCTTCTATGTAAAATAGTGGGACTGGTCTGTATAATAACATCTATGGGCTCCTCCAGCTGTCAGCTCTATGTGGGGAAGTTTTTGCTTTGACTCCAGCTGCCTTGTAGAAATTATTTTCTCCTCCTTTTCCATCCTTTCCTTCCCTCCTGCATTCACTTTGTTCATCACCCAAGCACTGAGTGCCTGTCTTGTGTTGGATGGTGGTGAATGGGTACAGAGTCCTATTCTAGGTGCTCACAGTGTCGAGAATCATGTTATATTAACCTAGATTCTAAGTACTTTGCAGAGGGGAAAAAGGAGACAAGTGGAACCTGGGGCTCCAGGCAGACTTTCCGGAGAAGGCACTGCTACCTGATGATGGGCTAAGAGTTCTTGCAGGGAGAGGATGGGGGTGTGCAAAGGCTTTGCTGTCAGCTACAGTGAGGCAGGTTTGGAAGGCTTACTGTAGAAGAGACACAGACATGTCCTGCAGCCCCAGTGCTCCTGAAGACAGAAGACCCCAAATCCTGCCAAGGCCACGTCTCCCACTCAGTGTGTGATCCTGAGCAAGTGGCTTCCCTGCTCCCAGACTCGGTTTTCACTTTGAGTGACACTTGGGGACAGCTTTAAAGCCTGTGTTCTGGTGGCCTGGTCTGTAGTGATGGGTACCGCTAAAGTGAATCCACTAAAGAAATAGAGGGGGAAAGACAGACAATCTTTTACTTGGTTTAAACCCTCAGATGCTCAACAGAGGGCCAGTTAAGAGTTGTTTCTGACTTGAAGGCAATGAGACAGATGAGTAAATTCTCAAGAGGCCAGAGATGTGAACCTCCTTTGGAAGACCCGTGAGTGCAGTCCTGAGTGGTGGACTGCAGTCTTCTCTACAGAGAGATTGGGACCACCAGAGCATCTCACTTTTGCTGAAAGGGGGACCTGTGTGTTGTCCTCCAGTCCACAGGCTACAGAAACTCCCTGCCAGCAGCTCTTGGAACCCACTGCTGGAGCAAAGGCAATTCCTCCTTTGACTCCATGGAGACCTGCTTGAAGACAAGGGTCTTACACCTACCCCAGCAGGTCCCTGAGTTCACCCAGTGGATTTTAAGAGCCACCAGGGAAAACTGCCCTGCCTCAGGCTGTACAGGAGCAGCAGCAGTAGCAGTAAATATTTAGAGAACTGTGCAGTCCTCTACCAAAGCATTCCTACAGAAAGCAGAGGGACATCCAGAGGGGCCTGAGGCCTAGGCCTTCCAGCACTCCTGCTGGACCCTGAACAAAAACTGACCAAGGTCTGGTCTGATCAGTGGCTCTATTCATTCCCTCAATAGTTCCAGACCTTTATTGTTCTTTTTTAGACCTTAACAGGGAGCTCTGCTGGCCTAAGGGCAAGAAGCTGTGCTTTAATCTCCAAGGGACGTAGTTAAAATCTGCCAACTGCTCCGCCGGAGAAGTACGGGCAATCTCCTCCTGTGAGATTAACTGCCTCTGAAAACCTGCTGGAGAGTTGGTTCTGACTCTACAGTTCCCAACAACAAGACCTTAACAGAAGACTTTATCTACTTTGAGAAAATGGAAGTAATCAAGAGTGACTCTTTCAAATCTCCTTGCCCTATTTGTCTAAGAACTGATGCCCTTGGCCTGTGGTGTTGGCAAAGAGTACTGGATAGCCCATGGACTGCCAGAAGAACAAACAGATCTGTTTTAGAAAAAGTGTAGCCAGAGTGCTCCTTAGGGATCATGACAGTGAAACTTCGTCTCACATAATCGGGGCTTGGTATCAGGAGGTGCTAGCCATTCAGAAAAGACATCAGGCTGAGTGGGAAAGGTCAGAGAAGAGAGAGGAAGACTCTCAAGGAGATGGACTGACAGAGTCACTGGAACTCGAGCATATGAGAGAGCATGAGAGAGGCACAGGCCAGGGCAGGATTCTGACGTATTATTCATAAGGTCGCTGTGAGTCACAGTTGCCTGGATGACACTGATAACAACACCTGTCTATAAGGGAGTCCTGGTGCCTCTGGGGTTAAATCACTAAACTGCTGACTTGAATCCTTGGTTAACACACTCTCATTAACCTAAGATGGGAGGTCTGAGCCCACCCAGAGGCACCTCAGAGGAAAGGTCTGGTGATCTATTCTGAGGAGTCACTGAAAGTGCAGGGCTGTTTGACAGACATGTGCTGACCATGACTTAGTCTATGACAGCTGGTGATGATCGATTTAGCCACCCTCACCGTCACCTCTACACATCCCCAGCGTGTGGGTCACCCCAGAAACCACCCTCCTTGTTCTCTTGAGCGTGCCCTCCACACTGGAGCCGGAATGATCTTCCCACACTGTTACATGTTCTCAACTCAACTGAGTGGACACTAGGAACTTCTGGAGGACAGGGTCATTCCTGATTCATCTGTGTCCCTAGGGATTGAAGGGTAAGTCTGGCACATAGGGGTGGCGCAGTAAATGCTTGTTGAATGAATGAGTGACAAGACCTGTTACTCCACATCCTTTCCGTGATCTCATCCTATCCCAGGAGACCTGAGCTCATGGATCCTTTCCTAGTGCTGTCTCAGCCTCCAACCCCTCTCCCAGATTTCACCAATCCCAGGAGCTTGGCCCTTGAACCCACCCTGAGTCAGGGCCCAGGGCTTGCTGTCCCTAGAGGCTGGCAGACAGGGTCCAGGCTTGCGTCCAAGGTCAGAAATCCTGAAAAAGGCTCCACACCCATCCTGAAACCTGCAGGGAAGGTTGTGGCAAGTTTCCAAAGTGGCCCCTCCTCGGCGCTGGGGCTTACTTAGACTGCGAGGCTTGCCCAGGCTCCCCGGGTCTCCTGGCCACTGCTCAGCAGTTCTTTCCAGCACTGACAGCTGTTCTCTGGCCAGCTCTCTGCAGGAAGGCACGTTCTATTTCATTTGCCGAGGCTGTGTGGATCGGGAAAGAAGGAAAAAGAGGGAAAGCAGTGATAGGGGGTAGAGTGGGAGGACATACAGAGTCAGAGTGACAAAGTCAGGAAGAGAAAGACACAGGGAGAGGCCGAGAGAGACACTAGGAAGAGGAGAGCGATGGCCAGAAGAGAGTCACACAGAGATCCAGAGAGCAGGATAAGAAAAGAGGGAAAAGGAGAGATGGCTGGGACCAAGAGAGGCAGAGGGAGAAACAAAACAGTGGGAAAGATAGGAGAAAGAGGGAAGGAGAGAAAAGGAGAAGGAATCCAGAAACGAAAAAGTAGTTACAACGGAGGAAAAGATAACTCATCAAGAAAGGCTTCTTGGAGGAGACGTTCTAGGATGAGTAGGGTTCAGAAGGAGAGGTAGTGGAAGGAAGTCAGGGAGCGGGGGGTGGGGGGGTGGGGGGGAAGGTATTATTAGCA